AAATTCGTCCCCAGTAAGCCAAGAAATGAGTTAGGAACTGCATACCCGAAGGATATTAACCTGCGGTTTCACTACTGATTCGATCATTTTGATTATCAGTACTTGATAGAAAGTGCGGATAATATCGATGTTGCGGCACTCTCAGCTGATGACACTTGTCTAGTGACTTGTTTTCGGACAACGCAGGCAAGAATCGAGTGGGCAACGTAATATAATGAAGCACTCAGTTTGTCTGTGATAATTCGCATGGTTCAGCTACTTTCGAGTCACTGTGCAGTTTATGTGGCGGCCTAACTAACCTCGATTTACCACACGCCCTATGAGCTGCTAGCAGCTATTCCAGGTAGTACCGATGGAATCAAATGGCTTAGGTATACTATAATCGAAACGGCAAGGTTATTCGTGCAAATTTCATTTGGTTTGACTAATGCTGGAAATCGAAACTAATACGAAAGCGGGACACAGAAAGCAGCATTCAGAATAGGCGTAACTAACAGTATGACGGACGTATCTGCGCTGTGAACAGCGTCCCAATGACAAAAATTAAGGACACATGGGAAACTTGATTTTATTGACCTATTACGTTGGATGCAGCGGAGATTATGACGTTTGATTGCTGCTTGCTTGCTAAGCGGTCTAAGTGGATAGAAGTCAAATTGCTTCAACTCATTCCTGCTTATTCACTGTGATGAGAACGTGATCGCCAAATTTTAAATTGCATATACCATAGTTACACCTCACTTCGTTTAGATCACAAAAAGAAATCGTGGTTAATGCAACGGTAAGCATCAATCACTTTGTCAGCTCTAACAATGGTGACACAACCAAGGGAATGCGAATCGTTATTACAGATTCTCACCGATTGAGACTGCTTTTCGCTTTTGGGGTCGTGTTGGTGCCACAACTGATGGGACACAGCAAGTGACTATATGGGGGTCACTCGACCGCTTCACCTCGTATAAGGGCGTAGTGAAGTACTTCAACAAGAACAATCTTTCCCTGTTATGGTCCGTATTTATGGCGTCTAATTAAGCGAATACTGTATCTGCGTGTTCGGATTAACAAACATCATTTAGATATTATTTTCTAGACGTCCAATTTTGGACACTATGCTTCAACCAATTTTCCACACTTAACTCGAAAGGCCAAAGAAAAATAAAGCAATCTTCCAGTACTCCAAACGAACAACTGTCCAGTTATTCCATTGCACTTAGTGTGCATGGTGACTAAGTAAGTTCACGGAGTGGTCACTGTTAGCGTACCCGCCGATTTTCAGCGGCACAGATCATCAGCTGAGGTAAGCACAGCATTCGCAAGACTGTGGAGTTAAGTTACTGGAGCGCAAGTCATTTGCAGCTAAGTGGATTCCTGATGCTCCGGTACGTACCTGACTAATCAGTAGTCTGTAGCAGTGACAATCTCCACATTGGCCAACAAAAAGGCACTTGTGCTGAACTTCGGTTTCCCTACATCAAGCGACTGGCTATGCTTTACTGAAGCACAGTCAAAGAATCACCATATCAGCCACAGGGAGCAAACTAAGTAGATTCCGGAGCGTATAAGATGCAGCTTCTAGCTTAACCTGATCACCCTCATCCGAATAGCATAAAAAACTAAAGCTTCCCTGCATAGCGCTCACCACTGTGAACGTTTCCGTAGTCAGTCAGCTCGTTCCTGATATTTCGCACTAACACACGCATCTCCCGAATCCTCCGCGAAAAATTCCTAATGTTGTGTGGATATAGCAAATACATCAGTTACCATTAAAAGTGTGATACTTTAACGAATCGTAGCAAGATATTCTCTCACATGCAGGTTTACATGTACGTGTTCCGAATAGAGCTACTTCACCGAGCTTTGTCGCTCATCGCCACCAACCAAGCTTAGGAAAACGCGGTTAAAGCGAGAATAAGTCAGCTTCAGCAGAAAAAGCAGTGAAAAGCTCTCAGATTGGTTATGCGAATACAAGCAGACACACAGTGTGATGTCTGGCTAGGGAGAGAAAAATTAGTGATTAAGTGGACTCGGTAGCAGTAGCTATTGTTGGCCGTTTTATTTATTTGGCATTCGGGACTTGAGTAGTAGCTTTAATCTATCTTCCGAGTGGATCGATTCTCCCCTAAACGTTTGCATAAGGCAAGACCGTATTATCGGTGCAATTGCCAACGCAGCAACCGGCTTTTAACAACACATGGCCCATATTGTGAGTAGAGTGCTTGATGCATTTACCGAGTGCCTCACAAATATCATCGTTAGGGATGGATGAATGTAGGTGGTAGTTTCGCTCATAATTTCTGTCTCACTGTGCTGACAGACTACTTGTGACTGACTCGTTGCTTATTTGGATGGACTCACCAAACCTTCGCAGGTGAGCCACGGTTGCTAATTTTATTGTTGGAATCTTGCAGCAATTTCTGTACTCATAAATTCACATTCGTGTCGTGTTTTCTTGCATTCCATGTGTTCACGACTTTTGATCGAATAGATGAATTTTATCTTCTGTGTGCACTCGCGCAACTTACTTCTGGGCAAATTGTCCTTCCGGATTGATCCAAGACCAAAACTCCAAACGCTTCCGCTCTAATAAGCTAGTCTATGGCCTTCAGCGAATTGTGCAAGATTATTTCTTCGAGGCAAGAGGATTTTAACCTATGTGTTACGGAGAAATAGCTAACACTCAGCCTTCAAGCCCAGAGCCCTGGCGCAAGGGTGGATCGATGCACAATTGGAGATAGAACACGAGTAGATATTAAAACGCGAATCTATGTGGGGTCAGCGACAATTTGGACCATGAACTTCAACCGTCTGAGTTGTGTTAAATAATATTAATTAGCATATCCGATATTGTTGCTTTAGTAGTTGTCTACAACCTATTTATTGCGCCATGCTCTCATACAATAGGAAACACTCGGTTCCGCTGGTATCCAGTTTTCCCATTTCATGCGGAGTTGTACTAGTTGGAGGCGACACGGCAGATTCAGGCCGGTTATCTGTACATTCAATGGAAACCACAACACTGTGCATCCAAGATACTAGTGAGTAGCGTAATTAATAGCAATCCTTTAAAAGCAACGTAATAACTGAGAGATTTTGGTGCCTAAGGTCGACTAGTTTACGGCTTTTGTACATTGCCTGATAACCGGAAGCCAGTCAGTTACATACACAGTGGCACATACATCATGTCAACTAGAAACGAATCAATGCTTGAATGATGGTCATTCCGCTGACCTGATCCATGCAACCAAGCACTGATGCCGCCGATGTGTTGACACTTATTCAATAATACAAAGGTGGTGTGTGTGTTAGATAGCAAACGCAGCGAAATACTAGGTCGCACATACCACCCGTATGGTGGTTATCCTCCTTGCCTTGCTACCGGATGAAGTCGGTCACCAAGGTTCATGTCGCTATCACCACTGCTGGACAGCATCAACGTTGTCTGCGCAAAGATGGAACACGGTTGTGATGGTTAACTAACTTCACATGCAGTGAGCAGGAGTACTCGACTGTCACTGTGACTGTATACATGGTTGATGTGCGGAAAGTTGATGAAGTCCGTCTAGGTTTGATAAGGAAGTAGGAGGTAGTAGAAAGGCAAACTGCATCTGAACCCTGTTAATGAGTCACAAACTGCCTACTACGGAATAAGTCGCTTACTCACTTTTTTGTAATTTCGAAGGAGATTCTTCACAAATGCACTCAGCCAGAAAGGCACTTAACAACCAGTTCGTATTTTCTTATTCATCACTACTTCGCAATCCGGTTGCCCAGTGGGATGCTAACACCCGTGGCATTTCACGTTCGAGTCATTAGTTAAGTACAGCTAGCTGTGATATACCGCCACACTCGTCCTGCACTACCATGTGCGTTTCCAAGGCGCAGACTACAGCACTTGAATCAAGAGATCCGACTTCCGCTGTTGGGACACAATCGTCCGACGTCTGTCGGGTAAGTACCACTTTTAGACACTGGTTAGAGCACGGTTTTGGATTAAACAGGGGATTTATCAAAAATGGCGTTCTCCTTGGCTTCGTGATAAACCGAACATCAAATATTCTTTCGCAAGATGACAACACCTAACCCTGGGACTATGGAAAATGCAAGCGGCGTGAGTGATAAGATATCTGGCTGCGATATATCATTGTTTAAAATGTGCTGACTGCAGATTAGTGCATCCTCTTCGGGCGCCACGACCGAAAATTTACTAATTCTGTCCTCTTTGTGCTGTTGACTGAAGGTTAGTGGAGGATGGTAAGGTATCACAGCTACGTTTTCAGGGTTGTCACCGACCTCGGAGGCCTGAGTGGATTATTGGCTGACTTGTAAAACTACGCGCTCGAGTTCAATCGCTCATAAAGTGGAAGTACAATTATATCACTGACTAAAAAGGTTTAGTTGTGTTTTAGCTATGGGTTATAACTTTCACCTTTGTCAGGAAGAGATCACAGTAAGCAACGAATCTAAGACAGACACCAACCACGTGGAAAAGAGAAAAAACATTTGCGAGTGATGCTCCGATCATTCCACCTGGCTGAAAAAACCAGGCGCCAGGTGACAACTATTGGTATCACTGCGGGAGATGAAAAAAAAACTGGAAGAAGCTATAAGTTTTGAATGATAGCTGCGCTACATGTACTACCAACTGATCTCGACTCTTGTCCTCTGAAGTCGCGTTTTCATTGCGCTTAACTGCCCTACCGATGAAATTCGTGGAACAGATTAATGCCATCACTGTGAATTTCCTGTCGGTTGATGAATTGTAGTAACAGAGTACTATACAGATGTTGTCTTGTTTGCAAAATTGGCATATAGTACAACCTACCTTATCTGACTACTAAAGGGACTGGACCAATGTGGCCAACATACAGAGGTCTGGATATATGTAGTGAACGTTCGAGAATTGAAAACAAAACTGGTCAACTTAGAGAGGTGGTCAAGCTCGGAAGTTTCACTGTATATATGTTAGGAAATAGGTCATTTAATAAGACCAAAGAACGATTGGTACCGAGAGTATAAAATGTATTTGAATTGCTGAGCAAAATAGTGGCAATGTGCAAATAGAAAAGTGCTACATTATGGAGTACACACGACACAAGTTCATACAGAAGTGGAAGTAGGTACAGAGTGCACGACCAGTGCGGTTGTCTTAAATCTTCACGGGTGCGGTGTAGAGTGAAACATGTCGCCTCTAGACAAGTGTGTGTTTTACAAAACACAGGAATTCGGTAATACCTAAAAATCCCGTGAGTTGAAAAGGAATTGCTGTAAAGGGAAACCGCAAAGTTTTGGCTAAAACAAAGAGGTTGAAAGAATAATGCAAATGTGTTTATAAATATAAAAATACGTGAGTAAACCAAAAACCCGGTTGGAAATGGGCAGGAAGCCTGAGATTTATTTCTTTTGAGATCGTCTAGACACTGGAACAAGAACTTGGACAGTGTTTGGAATTCCACAGTACAATACAGAAGCGAATTCGTTCCGTCGCTACACCTCGCATGGAGGATGATATACCTTTTTCACTGTACTGTCTCGATCGGAACCGCCATTTGAGTTTTGATTCGATGGAGGAGAACGACGCTGGCGATCGGATGCTTCGTTCGCATTGCCATCCGGTTGAGTGATAGCAGGCTGTCCGGATCTGAGTAAGCTCACGGGATACATTTCTGTCAATTCAACATCAACAGCATCTTTCGTTAATGGAGCATTGGCGGATAGTGGTGCGTAAGGCGCCGATGGCAGCGGTCGCTGGCGAACCGTGACAACATCGCCCTGTTCCAGTTTAGCACTCATGAAACCTCCGTAGGTTTTATCCGTAATGTCTATGGACACGTCACCTGTAGCATGGTGATGATGATAATCCGACATGTATTTGGGTACTTTTGGAACGATAGGCGGGCCACGGAAATCCTTGTCCAAAAACTGTTTCTTGTAGTCCGCAAACAAACAGCAAACAATTTCGACTGCAATCAAATCACCCGCATTCATCGAGATCATTCGCAAAATGAAATGCCCATCCTGGCGTAAAAATTCCGATATGAAACGATCCACAAGTAGGGCCATCTTTGGGTCGTCCCGATCGTAGAGGTCGGCTATTTTTAGAAAGCGACGTACAAAATGTCGTTGTCTCTTCTTGATACCCATGCGCACAAGCCACAGAGGAATACTGACCAAAGTGATCCATACAACAGCCCCAAGAAAAAAGAAGAGAAATACGTAGATCTTCTCATTGAGCATGTTGATCGGAAGGACACACTGGGCGAAGAGTCTATTGCTAGCGCCCACATGTTGAAGTGTATGCCTGCACATTCCAACACGGGGGAATACTTGTGTCTCGGTCCACGGTTTTCCTGTGATTATGTCGTTCAATACACGGAAGCCGAAGAACAGGTATCCCTCACGAGCATCAAATCGGAGAAAAACATACATCATATAGAGTTGACAAACACCGATGACAGCATACAAAATTTTAACGAACAGATATACGTAGACAAGATTGTTTCCATGACGCTTTCCTGGGAAGAGGGAAGAGCGTCGCAGGCGATCGATGATGTCCCCGGAACCTCCACGGTACTCACGTCTGCTGAAAAGGAGCAGTTCCAATGTGCGCGAGATATGCTGGACCATTTTTTGTCTTTTCTCACCATCTTCTCTAGTTATGGAGTTCGCTGTGCGGACTAAATTTTGCAAATCTGTTCCTGTGCGATTGTAGGTAAAAATGCTCCAAAATATGCGAGGGAGGTAGTAGAGGATGGCTTGAAGACCCAGGACCAGTGGAACCCATTGATAATAATCTGTTTGAACAGAGGGGCAGAAAAAGTAACAACTGATACTGGAGTCAGACAGGGAGAAATTTTGCATGGTAAAAACGCCCCGATGGCTGAGGATGCAAGAGACAAAATGGTGCACTAGTTCTAGGTGGCTGCTGACTTGGGTTTATTTAACGCTCAAGTGCTATCTAAATTCGTCGCAGCCTCGGGCAAGGTTAGTATATCTCATTCTCTTAAAGAATCTTAAGTAGAGTGAATGGAAAATGGATTTTCGTTGGCTGAGATATAACGTTTGAAATGAAAGATGTGTACACTTCCGCCAAATTCCCTTCACCCTAATTAAACTCAGACTAAAAACGATTGCACTGGCAAAGCAGCTGCCAAGGATGAAAGAAGTGGAATGTAATTCCCATATGCGGTCTGAAACGAGCTGTATCCGTATTATCGTGATCTGACCCTTAATACTTTCATCTTTTCAACTGTGTGTAACATGTTCTGAGAATGCGTCCACGAAACCGATCACATCAAGAGTGGTAGATATATGCAAACTGATACGATGAAAAAATCGCTGATGCTGCGTTCTACAATGTATTTATAACTGAGGCCCTAACAGTCCTGCTTTTCGTCTAATTTTTCAGCCGATTTTTATCTCTTCATTTCGATGTTCCGTCATGTATGTTTAGCTACCACCACCTTGACACAGTGTGAAATCAAAAGTTAATCCATCATACTTCTGTATCCGAACCGAAGTAAACATAAACTACAGTGATATGTCTGCAATTGGTTCAACGGGTACTACTTAATTAGAAAAAGGTATTCATGAAGCTCATGCGTATTGAAGGAAACCCGGTAGAAATACAATGACGGTAGAAGATAATGTTAGTTAGATGGTGGAGTGGAGTGATGGTGCTGCGTTTGAAGCTTCCATGAGACAGCATTACAATCACCAGCATCATGATGGACAGCGCGCCAGTTTTTTGCGGCAAAATTCCGTAACGATGAGTAATCGAAGAGGCTACAGCTGACCGTAACCTTAAATACACAGTACAGCGTTGACACTCCCTGGGAATGGATTGCCGCTGAGTGCGAACGGAAGTTGAGATCGTGCAAAATGCCTTAACTGCGTAGATGTTGTGCATACCGTAAAATATTTAAAAAAGAAAGTTCTTTCGAAATTTGTCTCACTGGGACTACCAAGGGCACCCAAATATGTTGCTCAGCAGCAGTCCAGCCGTCAAACCCGAGTACATCTATCGACCATTCATGCTGGGTGGACTGGCATGTGAGTTTTTAGAGAGTCTAGGGCGCAGCGAGTCGTTGAAAAAACTCCTATGAGATTTGATGTGTCGCATTCCGGCGATTCAGTTGATGCACAAAGAGAAAGGCTTTTGCAGTTTTAACAGCATATCGGACAGCATCAACCATTCCTCATGTATTTTAGTGGATTATTGCTCAACTTCACACTAATAAATCGAGGAAGATGAGTACCTTGTGAAGTGAACAATTTGTTGTGGACCACTAAGTAACAAATGAGCCATATTAGCCTAACTGGCACAGTCAAACTGAACATCTTGCCCGCCATTTCCATCCTTGTGGGTTTGCATCCAACAGCGAGTTTACCGCACCGCAATATCGCCTTTATAAGCCGAGAGGTTGTGAGCATAATTCTCACTTCAGTCAGCAAGAACTAGAGTGATATTTACAGGTACTCCACTCAGTGGCTCATATCTAACTTGTCCAAACACTTGTGTACCAAAAAGCGAAAATTTGTAGCTCAGGTTGTTCTGGTGGCGGTCTACTGGTCACTGAGTTTAACAATCATTTTACAAACACCTCGTAACCAATCGAGGTGATATCATCAGTGCGGTGTTGATTAGCGCTTAGTAAAGGCAAAAAGGTATCAGCAGTACGCCGGTACCCAGCAAAGACGCTTCGCTGTCGCGCAACCAGCACCAGTTGCATGCGGGCTAGGGATACGATAAGCATCGCCCGGTATATACGCAGGCTCGAAAAAAAACCAGGAAAGTGCTCCTGTCATTGGCCATACGTTCGCCAGACCGTATTATCAGCAGACATGTCTCCAGCTGTCAAATCTAATTTGTAACTTGCGCACTGCAGACTATGGAGCCTCACAGACACATTCCGCCTGGAAACCATAAGACTCGCAAAAAATTCCAGGGCAGGGTTGTATTCTAGTCTGAAGAGAGTTCGCGCAGCCTATCTGTCTACTCATTTGTCGGAGATAGAAAGAATAGCTTCTCCTGACCACCATCAGAAGTTATTTCGTTTCACGCAGGAAACGTGCAGTAGGAGATCTGTTGATAACGAGATGAGAGAGGAATACCTGTCCGCAACTTGTCAAAGCGCTAGGAGCTTGGGCTGGACGCTTAGGAAAAACAATTTGATCTGCCTTTCTTGTCGACCAGTGATCGCCCTGTTCTCTGTACTCCCTTGACCTGACCTCTTGAGCATTAATGGAGCGTGAGATCAGAATGTTGAAGTTAAATGAGACCGAGGAACGCGATGGATTCCCCTCAGTCAATTTCAATTTTGGGGGACCAGTTATGCGGATGATGGACACATTTTATGAGTGCAACTGTGGTGGCAGGAAACTGCTTTAACCGACTGAAGGGTTAATGTTCGTAATGCGTCAACCATAAAAGCATCATGCAAGCATTTCCCTTTACAAGTTTCATTATTGCAAGAAACCACATTTTAATAGCATACACTGAATTCAGTACTTTTGCGGACTCTCCTCAGTTATTTACATACAATTTGTGGAAAGGACAGGTTATATCTTCGAATATAGTTGGTATCGATCGGGAAGTCGTCATTTCAGAAGGTGTGGAAGACGACCGGTTAATATATTTGTTAGGTTGCACAACCTTTCCATTTTGACTCAAAAGCCGAAAGAATAACCGCTGAGCACCGTTATATCATGCACCAGGCTCCGACGGGTGGGCCACATGTTGCACATGCCAGCACACTGTCTCCCACGAGGTGCGTTGTTTACGCATCGGGAGTGTGGACCGAAAAAGAAGGCAGGCTAACCGATGACTTGGACAAGAGTATTGAAGATCCTCACTTCGAAGTTGCCGTCGGTTGGAGGTTCCCGACAATGGGATTATTGTATTAAAGACGATGAACACATTCGACTGTGTGCATTTGTCGACATAACTAATGAACGACCTCAGTGACGTTTTTGTTGCGGGTTTCTACATCTTGTCCCATACGGCTTGGCTTCCCCCTCCGATCAAGATCTCGTAGTAGATGCATAATAGAAAGCAATGCATTGTAACATGCATTATAACATTTGTTTTCTGTTGCTATCTACCCATATGTTTAACTATGCATTTTAGCAGTTTGCCACCATCTTATTGCATTAAACGGCGATAAAATACCCTATATTTTTCTCACTCGTAACACACATGTAAAACGATTATATTGCTTCTCAACTTATTTGGAAAATATATGTGAATAACAATGTGAATCTATGTTGTCCGTCGCGGACTCAATAGGTGGCGCAAAGTACGATTCAGCATCGAGTGTTTTACATCATAATCATCATCATCATCATCATCATCATCACTCGTCGATACGAATATTCCTGGTCGTAATTTGTCCTAGATTGATTTTGCTTAGCATCCTCAATCTCCGAAAATAGACTAACTTGGGCTCTCTCCACTTGTTTCGTTTGAGGTCATGCGGTAAGTGAAAGGAATATTTTCATCTTTAACCGCGTCAGCGCCGGCGTTCATTTTCATGACATGTTATGACCCTGTGGACTACTCTGTGCACCAGTGTTTCTGGGAAATTCTCGAAATTCTTTACTAGTTACTACGAAACCGCTTCATCATCAGAACACATAGATTGCGATATGTCAGCATTTCGATTGTTCTGATCTGTTGCATACATAAAACAGGCAGCAACATATACAAAAACATACATGAGAAAAATTGGCACACCAAGCAAAACGTCAAAAACAAGACGTCCCTCTGACACAATACGCTCCAGAGAAAGCATTTTCCACTCTGTCTTGCAGAGTATACCCTCAGGATCACCCTGAAGTATATCGGAATATCTTTGTCTCAAAGCTTACTTCACATATGCTTTAATGATGTCCTTAAGTGGGTTCAGTGATGGAGAATATGAAGCAAGGCTGCCCGGACGACACTACTCCTCTTAGAATACGCGTTCCACATTCGTGTGCCATGGCGCGTTGTCGCAGATCAGGAGGCAGCTTTCGATAAAATTCGAACCTATGGCATCCCACAGTCCACGCAATCACTGCGCAAACCTTTCTATGTTGAAGATTTCTCTCACGATGCTATACCCTATCAAGCCATCAGTCATTAGTCCTTCAATAAAATGAAGGTTCTGTCCCCGAGTGTTGGACACTTGACATTGCACACGACTTCCACTCGGAGAACGGCTTCCAGTGAGAGCACAAAGGAGAGTGGAATTCGTTTCATCTATTCACACCGCTTGTCTCCCTTCGACCTATGATTGCAGAATTGCCAAGACGGAGGATTTCCTTCGCCTTTTGTTCTGCTGTGTGTTCATGGATACCGGAACTGCGCGTAATTTCTTTATTGTTATAAGCCTCCCGTCCAAGTGTCGCGCTATTGAGATAACGCTCACCTCAAGCATGAACTCCGCTTTCAGCCACAGGCTGTGTTTGGAAAGTGACCCTAGGTTCCGACGATACACATTCTACCAGGCAATCAATGTGACTTTCTGCCATAGATCTTCGTCGCCCCCTACCATGCTTTCCTCCTTGTTCCATCGACTCCAGTCTTCGTATCCAACTGCGGTAGCTTTTCGTGTCAACGTTCAGTAAACAAGCAAAATGCTCCCAATTGTCTCTGTACTCATGTCTGCAGTATTCGGCTCTTCAGCTCTCGAGTGGTGTGTACGGGCGCTCATTTTTACCATCCTGAGTACAGTAGGCTATAAGTCACCGTTGCTTTACATATATACCTGTGTGCGCAGGCTTCGTAAAATAGGACACATATGACGGTTTC